CTTGTGTATACTATGAAATAGGTTCAAGATTTACCCCTGTCCCTCCCCCAGTTTGGGTGTCCAGTTAACCTGGTACCATTCCTTGAAAAGACACTAAATTGTAGTGGTGCTTGTGTCATAAATAAGGCAACTGTACATTTCTGTGTTTGTTTCTAGACTTTCAGTTCTGTTCCATTTGTCTGTTTAAGTCAGTATCATACTGTCTTAAATATTGCAGCTTTATCTGTCTGATAGTGAAAATCTGCAGCATAGTTCTTCTTCAGTATTGCCATAGCTAGTCCAGGTCCTTTGTGTTTCCATATAAATTGTATTAATAGAATCAGCTTGTCACTACTCCTCCCTCTCCCAGCACATATGCAACCTACTGGGATTTTAATTGTGATTGCCTTGAAGCTCTAGATCAATTTAGGGAGAATTGACATGCTGAACAGACCAAATCTTCTAATCCATAAATGTAAATTTATATTGGTCTCCTTTAATTTCTTTGAGCAATATTTTGTGTTTTGTACATCTTTTCTTAGATTAATCCTAGGTATTTTATGCTTTTTGATACTATTCGCTACCCTTTTGATATGTCCCATTGGTCTCTGAATACTTCCTTTCTGACACAGAAAGGTACTCTAGGAGCCCCTTGTACTTTTTTGTCCCCAAATATAAAATCAGCTATTTTCCAAGGAATCTTGGATCCTTAGTAGAAAATTATATTAAAAAAACACAATCTGTGCTCATTGCCACTTTCATGTAATTGCTTGTAGCCCTTTTTCTGAAAAGAGGTAGAGGTATAATTTTTAAAAATCATTATTTCATACTGATTCCTCCAGTTCTAATCCAGTCTCATAGGATTCTTCTCTGCTTTCCCCTACTCCATGTTTGTACCTCCTACTTTTCCACAAGTAAATGTGTTTACTTATTTGCTTTATTTTATAATACATACACAATAGTTTCAGAATTACTACACTAATGTCATTACCAATAACAAACCTACTAAGTAAGATTTAAGATTTCTTCACAGTTAAGGATATATTCTACTAAGGGGGTAGAGTCAGAGATCAAAAGTTAAATAGTTAAAAAGCAACTTGAATTATTTTTGTTTTTCTAAGTTATCATTTTGATAATGTAATTTTGTTTTAGTTTTTATTTATGTTGCCTTTATGTATTGACTAATGCTTTCATATTGTAGTCAGAATTCTACCTATGTTGATAACTAGGTGATATTGATAACATCTTGCTAGATATACTTTCTAGTTTAAATGAGTAAAGACGTTCAAGTCACTACAACTATGAATGGAGGCATAAAGAGGTACTTCATTGCCTTTCCAGGGAAGTTAGCTGCTTTCACAGAGATTCTGTGGTAAATTTAGGGTAGAATATACTGATATCCTGTTTGTTTTACAGACAAAAAGATCAATGTTTCCTTTTATAGAACAAGCAGAAATTCCATTTAAAGATAGTAATGTTTAATAATAGCAATTACATATCACTGCCACATTAAACATTGTGTGAGCCAAACTTGTATTATAAATTCAAATTGAAATATGTAACTGGTTAATTGAACAACTTCTCAGTACAGGTCGAGCATTCTTAATCTGAAAATCTGAAATTCAAAATGCTCCAAAATCCTAAACTTTTTGAATATCAACATGATGCCCAAAGGAAATGTTCATTGGAACATTTCAGATTTTGTATTTTCATATTAGGGATGCTCAACCAGTAAGTATAATGCACATATTCCAAAATGCAAGAAAAATCTGAAATCCAAAACACTTCTGATCTCAAGCATTTGGGATAAGGGATGCTCAACCTGTATATGGTATAGAAATAGACCAAAACTCCAAGAAAGTAACCAGGCTTACTTATTATGAATATGCAGTTCCATTAGCTGCCCAAAGCCTATGCCAAGTTAAGGCTTCCTAAATTATGGGACTTTTCTAAATAATATCAAAGAGGAGTTGTTCAAGCCATGCCTCTTGTACCTAGCATTATTATAGTTACCATGTAGATAAGAGTATCCTTACACCTGTACCATTCTCTGAAGAGGAGGAATAGCCAAACCTACCTGGTGACCAGAATCTTTAATGGAAGCTCTCTTAAGTATAGTGTTTAAAGCATTATTATAGCTAATATTAAGCAATATAATGCAATATTATAGCTAATATAGCACAGCACTGTAAGAAGTAGGGTAATTTGTTTTAACATTTTGATTGCCACACTAAAAAAAATCTTTTTGTCCTTAGGGCCGTGATGTTTTATTATGAAAATAGAACAAAAACCTCAAAAACAAAACAATCTTTTCTAATTTAATAAAAAATTTATTATTTTTTATTTTCTATGTGAATTATATGCAACTAAATTGTCAATATTATAGCAATAAGAATATCAACAAGTAAGATTTGCATGAACCAACTGCAGGCCACAGGCTCAAAACTAGCATGAGTTAAATGCAACTCACATGGCAGTTATAGTAGTAAACCTACACATTATACCAAGTTATGATTAATCCAACAAATATCAACTCTATTCAAGACTTTTGAAATAAGCCTTAAACATGATTTATTTGACACTAATAACCACAACATATAACTCACTAGTCAGTTATACTCCTATTTATTTTGAAATTATGAAGAGAAATCAGTTAGATTATATCTCTAATATTATAAGTAAATTATTTGAAAATAGAAATTGGAAAATGAAGCTGTCTATTGAGACTTTTTCATTTTTGATTCTTGAGTAAATGATTAAAACATTTAGCCTTTACTAAGCAGAAAATAAATTAGAAGCTTGTTGTCGTCAACATCTAGGCAGTATTATATTGCAATATTGCTCAGTGCTATGGAATGTGTGCTAAAAATTATATGCTAGAGACTCCGCTCTCTAGAAAGAAAAATTATATACTAGGTGGTGGAAGTTTATCCAATGTAAGATTTTCATTGAATTCATTTTCACAATAAATTGATTTCTTATGCTTAGGGTGCAGTATACAATTTTATAACCCGTTTTGAAGCAGTTCACATGTATATTTCCTTCTTTAATTCTTGAATTTCAAGATAATGCCTTTAAGAAAGCATTGACATTTTAAACTGTCAAACTATGTAGACAACTAGTAGTTTTTTATTTTGCATTAAAAATTAGATTTAAAGAAAAAACATTGAACTTTTCTTCTGCAGCTTCTTACCTCTCTCAGCCTTCATAGAATTGAAGAGCGTTTGGGCCTTGCTTTGGATTAGGCTTTGACTTAAGGGAGTGTTGTGGCTGATTTGATCTTCTATCCAGATAAATAAAACTTTCTTCATATCAGCAATAGGCTTTTTCACTTTCTCATCATTCATATGTTCACTGGAGTAGCGCTTTTAATTTCCTTTAACTTTTCCTTTGCATTCACAGCTTGGCTAATTGTTTGGCACAAGAAGTCTAGCTTTCTGCCTATCTCAGCTTTTGACATATCTTCCTTACTAAGCTTAATGATTTCTAACTTTTTATTTAGAATGAGAGATGTGTAACTTTTCTTTTTAACTGAACAGAGGCCAGTTTTAGGGTTATTAATTGGCCTAATTTTATTATTGTGTCTCAGGGACTAGGGAAGCCTAAGGAGAGTGGGACTTATAGAGAGTTTCCAATAGTAATAGCGAAGATCACTGATCGCAGATCACCATAACAGATATAATAATAATGAAACCATTTGAAATATTGGAAGAATTCCTCATAAATATACAGAGACGTGAAGTAAGCCCATTCTGTTCTAAAAATAGCACTGATAAACTTGCTTGATACAGGGTAGCCACAAACCTTCAATTTTTGAAAGACCATACCTAGTGTCTGCAAAGCACAATAAAGTGAAGGAAAGGCAATGGAATGGTGTGCCTGTATATCTTACTATAAATCATACTGAAGTCTCTAGTTAATCTCATTAACCTAACAATTTTTAAAAGTTGCATTCCAGTAACAGCAAATATACATTATTAAAAGACGTTTTCAATCTTTTCAGAATTCTCTTGTACATGTAGTTGATTTATAAGTTGATTCATAAGTATGTTAATTTCATAGAGGCTGGTGAGCTTTGGTAGAAAAGAGCAGCAAATTGGCTCAGACTTTCTATAGCAGTAGTAGAAATATCCAGTAGTCTGAGGTAAAGCTAAAATAAAAGAAACACTTATTTCTGACATGGTCTTTATAATTCTATATAGTGTTTTAAGTACCCTGCTTTACTTGAAAGACACAGTGATTTCTTTTAGTGTGACTTACTTAGTGGTGGTAGTATAATTAGATTGTTTGCATTTAATCGTATGCAGTTTTCTTTAAATGGAAAGATGGACTTAATATATTTAGTATTTATGCAGAAAAATGATTAAGTTCCAAAACTGGGATAATACATTGTTTAAGAATGTCCAAAGCGAGCTTTTCAAATAGGTCGATACTTGACTGTTTTTATTTTAGGACTCTTGTTACTCAATTTGATTCCCTCTCCTTCTTTTAAATATTCAGCAAGCCAGGGTAGCTTGGGTAAAGAAGAAGTAAAAACAAAAATGCAATATTCCTTTCTAGCAGCATTGTGAATGAGAATGCTAAAATTGATAATTACAAAGAGTTTTGAAGTATTGATTATGGATAGTTTTACTGAAATTCATGGTAAAGAAGACAAATTTTAGATAATTTAAATAATCAATTCAAATGAAAAATTTTTAATTTTGGCAGAACATTTTCTTGCTGATACTTCCCCTACTTTACTTTTAGGATATAATTGCATTGTTTCATTACTTTCTTGTGGACAATTTACTATATTAGTGCTTCACATGATCTTGAGCCATGTTTGTCTCTCTCAGTAATGTTTCTCACTTACCAATTTTGCTGTTTATGGAAAGCCCAGTAGCTTGTTTTACAACACACTGTTTAAATTATTTGTGAAAAGGACTTTTCTCTGTACTTATAAATAGCAACTTTCACTTTGTATGCCTTACTTTGCAAATTTAGCAAGTATACTACACTCTGAATTTTTTTTTTTCCAGTGTACTCGTGTGATGTGGACACCACCTCTTCGTGAAAGCTTTTCATATCCATTCCTTGTACTTCAGATGTTGCTTGTGACTCATATTCTCAGGTAACTTTGCCTTGCTTTTAGGTGTTTTTTCTTTGTTTTTGCATCAAATAATTTATATTAGAATTTTTTGAGCTTTTACAATAAAAAAGTCAACAAAATAAAATAATTAATATAATCCTATTGTTAGGTTGAATTAATAAAGATGAGTATAAAAATATTTAGTACCCCAAACATTTCCTCCGTCTGCCTTTTGGTCCTCTTCCTTTTTCTTAGTGGTCAAGAGTTTCTGCTCAATGAGCAGCAAATCTAATTTCACTTCTGTCATTTCCACTTTCTCAAGTCTTCTGCTACTACTGTAGCCTCCTAAAAATGGGCAGAAAGAAGGGAAAGGCTGCTTTTGCTAGAGTGTAGCCTGTTAGATATTAGTCCTTCAGAGGAAAGAGCCATTGTAATCAGGTGTATTAACACATGTAATTCTTCCTACATTTGTTTAGCATCCTGAGAATCAGGTAATAGGGGCAAAAAGAAACCACCTCAGTAGACCAAAGATATGCTAGGAGAATTCCTGCTAGAAATTCAAGATTAGATTAGGCTTTTGCACGTTCATCTGGCCTGCAGCTAAAGACCTAACAGAGATTCAAGCACCAAAAAGAGTAGGGTAGAGAACAATTCTCTCCTTTTTCTGTTGACAAATACTGAGTTTAGACAGATGCTGCCTTGCTCCAGGGGGTAAAAATAAAACAAAATGAGGCCTGTGGAAAAATAGAACAAAGCATGATGAAAATCTGAAGATGACTCACACTAAGAACTCCCTTCAGTGATCTGCAGATTCAGAAGAACCTTGTTGAAGTCTCTTATGCCAAACCCTTGGGTGATCCATTTCCCTCTGTGATTATCTCAGCAGGCCCAGAGCCATTGTACCTTTTAGTTTCCTATGCAGTAGTGTCTTTAAGCAGACCTTTTACAGAAGGCGGGATGGGTAGTGGTTTTTTGCATTGGCTTTTTAAAGTTCGTGCAACTCCAACCTTATTGCTGTCCACTAAACTCCTCTTTTTAGGAGTTCAAAGCATCTTTAGCACCTTTAAATGAGGTGAATTCATAACCTTTAACTCTGCCTTGCTGGTTCTGGGGCACTTTAAGAGACATTCCCTTCTCAAACATCTCTGGAAGAAGTATTGTACTATAAGAGAGTCTTTGATTCACCACTGCACATTCTGTTTTTCCACATCCGCATAACTGATTTGGCTTTTTCCCTTCAGTATAGTGCAGACAGTGGACTGCCCATCAGTCTCAATAACTGCTTTTCTTCCACCTTTGCTCATTTCTTAAATCCACTGCAGGGGAACCTTTGGTTCTCCTCACATTCACTGATCTGATCTGACCTGAGTAGCTGTGGGCAGTGCTGCCCCAGGTGCTGAGCACTGCTTCATTTAACCCGTCATACTGTAGAAGGCTGTGCTAGTTTCCTACTGCTGTGATAACCAATCACCACAAACTAAGGTTTGTTATGTTACAGTTCCATAGGTCTGAGGTCCTGAAGTTAAGTTGTTGGCAGGGCTGCACTCATCCTAGAGGCTCTGGGGAAAAATCAGTTTTCTTGCCTTTTCCAGCTTCTAGAGGCTGCTGCTTTTCTTGGCTCATGGCCCCTTTTTCCATCTTCAGTGCCAGCAATGGCAGATTGAATCCTTTTTCATCAATTCACTACAACTTTCTCTTCTGCCCCTCTTCCACTTTTAAGGACCTTTGTAATTATAGTGGGCCCACCTGGATAATCCAGGATACTGTCCCTATCTTAAAGCCAGGTGATAGGTGATCTAAATTCCATCTGTAGCCTTAGTTCCCCTTTGCCACGCAACATGACATATTCACAGATTCCAGGGATTTTGGAGGCTGTTATTCTGCCCACCACTGTGGAGTTGCTCCAGTTGCTGTTTCCTACCTTCAGGGGCTGCTTTCTTTTGGATTCTTCTGTTTTTATCTCCAGGTGCCTCTGTGGCAAGCTCTTTATGTTTTCTTCAGCCTCATAATCAGTGTCATTTTCAGCCTCATCCACCTCGTCATTTCTGTGTTAACTGGTTTTGCTGAAAAGTTTTAAGGGACTTCCTTTTCTTTAGAGTCTTCTTCATTCTCTCTGTTTATATTCTGGTTGACATTTTCCCTCTCGTATCCCTGCCCATCTGAAGCGAGAGCAGCAGCTGTCATATTCTCTGTCATATTGATCTTCTTCACCATCTTCACTGGCACCTCATCACTTCTGATTAGGGCAGCTTTCCTGTTTTAGTTTCTTGGTTGGCACAGCTCCCTTCTTGCCTGGTGTGGCTGTGCTGTGGTGGCTGGTGTGACTGGTTATTTGGAAGTGTGTTGGCTGCTTTCATTTTGCGTGGGGTGACAGCTGCTTTCTTGGAAGCTGCAGTCTTTTTAGCAGGGAAACCATATCCTCCTTTCCTAGAGTTGTGGCAGACTTCTTGCCTTTGTTCTGAAGGATAACAGTCTCTTCACTGTTGCTCATCTGCATCTTCTGATATTTCATTCTTCTTACTGATATCTGTCTCCTTTGGAAGAGTAGCCATATCCTCTATTTTTTAGTTCCACTTGTAGTTGATACCTCATGATATGAGAGGGAGGCGGTGGGTGAATGGCTTGGGTGAGCCAAGAAGCTGCTGACCAGTGTTGATGCAGGCTGCAGAGCTGAGAATATGGCTGTAAAACTGGAAAAAGAACAAATCCTGAATGCTAGGAATTACTTATATGTAACGTTAGCAGTATATTTTATTTTGAAAAATTGGTTATGTCCAGTTTTAAATTTTAAGTATTTTTCGAAGTTCAGTTTTATGTAAATTATATCAGCATAGTCTTAGCTTTTTCTTGATTGTTCTTGGCAATATTTATGTTTCTATTTTTGATACCTCTGATCAGTGCTATATTGATCACCAGTTCGAATTTCTTTGTTTTCTATTTGTTTCTGTCTCCTCCCAGTGCATTCTGTACCCAACAGATTAGTATTAAATTATCAGAAATCTTTAATGTCTTCTGTTACCCATAAAATGAAAATCATTTTTATCATTCAAAAGCTGTGAGAAATATTTTATTTAGACAGAAGCTTTCAAACTTTTTGGATGTAATCTATAAAAAATAAGACATTTTACATTGTGCCCTAATATATACATGCCTGTGTGCACACAACTGAAACAAAAATTTCACAGAATGGAACTCTTATTAAGAAAGATGCAGTTTTCTATATTCTATTTCAGTCTACTTTTCTCCATTAAAAAATGCTGGGTTTTTATCTAGTAAATTGGTTTCATATCTCATTAATAGGTTACCTGGAGTTTAGAAATACCCTTGTTGGACTAGAGTAGCAGAAAAGGATGTCCTTTGGAGAAGGGCTACTTGAGGAAGTGAGCATGGGAGTTTGATGGTGGATGCTCAGTGCCCCTATAGGTTTATCTAACCAGGAATTCTTTACTCTGTCCAAGCTGCATATCTTGCCCCCTCAATGTATTGACATGCACATTCTACTTCTGTGAAGACGTTAGACATGTGTTTGGGAGCTTTACATTGGCTCACAGATTTAGAAGAAAAGATATAATCACCTCACCCTTGTAAAAAATCTCCTAAATTATAAGTCAGTACCAAAGTGAAGGTTCTGAAGGTGGCTCCAGAATGGCCCCCATACTTTGCCTCATCTTCATTTTTCAGTGTCTCACCTGTGCAAAACCCAGTGTGTATCATATCCTCAGAAAGTCTCTTTCAGCTGCTCAGCCCTTCTGCATTCTTGCAGTACTTGTCTCCATAATATTACTACTTGGCACTTAGAATATGCTTTCTGTCACGTTTTCATAGACGTATCTGCCTTTCCAACTAATGAATCTATTGAATCAGCATATATTATTTTAAAAATTTTAAATTCACAAAATATAATTTGAAAAAAATTCAATGGATACTTACTGACCCAGCCACCCTCCTCTTTGACAGGCTCTGTGTTTTTACAGTAGTAATGGAATGGGTATTTACTTTTCACAGAAAATTGTTGTAATTGAGTGTCAGTATAATTTCTAACTCATTGGTTCATTGTGTATTTAGGTTATAACCAGATCATGCTTAGAGATTCTAATGTGTAACAGTTTGGAACCATGATAGACTATTTTGTGGTAAACTTGCTGATATTTATTTTATCTTTTCAAGGGCTACAAAACTTTATAGAGGAAGCTTGATTGCACTCTGCATTTCCAATGTATTTTTCATGCTTCCATGGCAGTTTGCTCAGTTTGTACTTCTTACTCAGGTGAGTTGATTATATTTTTAAACTGGTTTAAACTTAACATGTTTGATTATCCAAACTCACTTGTATAAAATTATAACTGAGATGTTATATGATTCTAAGTGCTAAAATATTTTCTAGTTCATGTTTCTAATGAAAGCTCAGGGTAGGGAAATAAGTAAAATGTATTAATGATTATTATTTTCTTGCTAATAGACTATAATAATGAACTCAGATTTTTAAGAATGCTATCTTTGTTTTTCAGCATTTGTTAGCGTGCTTAAAAGAGGACTTGTGCTATACCTTTAAGTCTTTATCTTAAATAAACTGTAGTATTTCTCTTAAGTCAAATGTGTCATTTATGAATATTCTTACATGAAGGATAAATATACATAGGATTATAGGAATGATAACTAACTAGTTCTAACTCCCCCTACTAGTCTGCAATTTACCTGTTATCTTTCCATGTAACTCTTGCCTCCCTTCAAATGGAAGTACATAAAGCAAAGTAGCTTGTTGAGAAAGTGAGTAAATTGTGTGTTCATTTTCCCCTCTCGTTTTTTTTAAAATTATGTTGACCATATTGGTACAAAGCAATTGCAGAGTTTCTTTTTAATATTCTTTGGAATATCTTGCTTGGGAGATGAAGTTAGACCTGGATTTGAGTCCTAATTTTATTCACTAGCTTCTTGACTTGGAGAAAACGGTCATTTCTGAAATTGAGAAAATAAAAGAACCTACTTTATTGGGATGTGTTTAAGATCAGATGAGGTAATATATATAAGACTCTTAACACAGTACCCAGTACTTAGTGAGATATTACTGAAGTTAGGTATTTTTATTATTATTTTTGAAAAATGGGCTTTATTTACACTTATTTCTTCCTTTGATCTTCTCTTTTAGACTCCTTTATCTAGTTTAGTTTGATAACATTTTAAATCGGTTTCTGGTTTAAATTGTTACTGAGATTCTCTTTTTGAGATCCTAACTTATAAATTTGCTGTGTATTGCTTAGCCCTTGGGGTGGAAAGGGAGCATTCCCATTGCTTCCAGTTAGTGGAGATGGCCTGCTTTTGGGGGTAGGGGAGGTATTATGACTCTCTGTGGGGTTTATGTTGAATAACAGCATGTATTTCCCCACAGTAACTGTGTCATATCAATCACCCTTAAGCAATATAGTGGTCCCCACAGGTTACTCTGAATAAAGGGAAACCTTGTTGTTTATCTTACTAATGGGAAGATTGGTTGTAGATTGCTTGGAGATAAAAAACTTGATGAATGGAACTTAAGTTATGTATTTAAGTATTAAGCTCTTTTGCAGTTTGTTTATGCTATGTTTGTGTAGCAGGAGAGGCACAGAATTTAATTTAAATTGCTTTCTTCATGAAGAAGGGTGAAGAGGTATTGTCTGATATAATACCTCTATGTAAGAGTTACTCTATCATTATTTAACCAATTAATTCATCTAAATAATTCCAATATTCTTAGAATTCTTGACATATAACATTTAATTTTCTTTAAAGTGGAAAACTAAAAATACCTTTGCAGTGAAAGTACTCCTTCTAATTTGAAATTTGATAAATTTGATTATAATTAATGCTTGAATATTGTATTAATGAAAGAGAACACTAATGGAGATACTTGTAAAGAGTGACTAACAAGCAGAAATTAATATGTATTTTTATGCACACATGCATTGCATAATTATTTTTGAATTTAATGTATCTTCCCAATTATGTATTAGTTGTCATGTTATAATTACATTTTCATATTTTTTGATTGGACAAGGCACTTTCTAATTGTTCATATTGACAGTAGCATCAGCCTAATTAGAATGAGTATTGTTTTGGATAATCCACAAAGTAGACAATTCACATGGATGAGAGAGCTGTGTATAGGAGTAAAAAAATCAACCAATATTGCTTCTATTAATATATTGACCATATTCAAGAATAAATTGGCAGGTAAAAGGAAAACTAAAGAACTCACTTTCTGTATAAATATAAAACAATTTGAAACAACAATAAACACAGTCTTTTCTTCATTCTTATAGTTATCAATTTCCTATGTTTTTTTTTTTTTAACTTAATTTCTTTTTAAATTTCAGATTGCATCATTATTTGCAGTATATGTCGTGGGATACATTGATATATGTAAATTACAGAAGATCATTTATATACACATGGTATGATTATTTTATTGTTTTCTATTTCATTTGTCCTTAAACTCCTGATTAATATTTAATTTGTTCTCGGTTGAAACTAGTTGTAACATGATTTCATAACAAAAACAAGTGTCATTCAAACACTGTGATATAATCAATAGAATAAGCCACCCAGAAAATTAATTATTTTAATTTGGGTCATATTATCTGATTGCGGTCATACCCAACTTATGCATTATGGATAAAAGAAAGAATTCATGAAAGAGGAACATGTACTGGCATATTATCCAGGAGGCAGGAGTTAAAATGCAGTGGATGATCCACTGAGCTCCAACTATCCAGTGAGTGGGACATACCAGTGACTAGAACTATGGAGACCACAGCATTCATGTTGCTTACTTTCTAATAGAGTTGGAGAAGGAGGGAAGACAGAAGATAAGTAAAGAACATAGTAAATGGGTAAATGATGTAGTATGTTAGAAGGTAATAAGGATTATTTTTATAGAAGAAAGAAAAGAACAGTCAGGGTTAAAACAGATCAGGAGCACCAACACCAGTGGGTGGGATCAAGGTATGAGATACGGCAGTCAGGGCAGGTCTTATTGAGTAGGGGGAGTGGAGCAAAGATTAGAAGGAGAAGAGAAAGTTGGTCTAGTGGATATCAAAGAAAAAAATATTATAGGAACAGTTAGAGCAAAGGCCTTAGGCTGGTTTGTTGATGTTGGTGAATATTTATGTTTTAAAAACACTTGTCTTCTCTCTCTCATTAATTTTTATAATTTTGATGTTTTCTTTTTCTGTTGTTATAATATGCCGTTATTACTTTTTATTCTCTAATAAGTGATACATATAAGGGGACATTTATAATGTATAGGGAAATTATGTACGGTTATAAAATAAACAGCCACGAGCCTACCCACCAGGTGAAAAATAGAACCTTATCATTACTTTGAAATCCTGTGTGCCCTGAGGTCATCCCCTTACTGCTCCAAGAGGTAAACACTATCCTGACTTTTTAAGTAGCAATTGACTTGCTTTTCTGTATAATTTTACCATATATATGTATTCCTAAATAACATAGTTCTATTATTAAATATTCACATTGTTTTTAAGTTTTGTATAAATGGTATCCTTTTATGGGGCTTATTTTTTCACACAGGTTTCTGAAATTTGTAATTTAATAGAGTTCAGATATTTTCACTGCTTTATATTTTCCATTGTATAAATAAAGCTCAATTTATTCATTTCTTTTCTTGTTGAAGGACATTTAGGCTCTTTCCTCTCTCCTCCCACCCTCCTTTTTCAGTTATAAATAATGCTGTACATTCTTAGTCATATCTCCTAGGGCATATATGTTAAAGAGTTTCTCTAGAGTATTTACCTAGTAGTAGACTTTCTGGGTGGTAAATTATACACAGGTTCAACTTCGTAAATACCAAATCATTTTGCCAAAATGATTGTACTACTTCAAATAGCAATATGTATAATAGCTCATGTTATTCTACATACTTTTTTATTTTATCAATATGGTTAGTATAAAATGGTATCTTACAACCTTAATTTGCATTTTTTCTGATCCTCAGTGAAGCTAAGTGTCTTTTGGTTTGTCTGTGAGCCCTTTGTGTGTGTGAGTGAGTGTGTGACATTCCTATTCAAATCTTTGACCAGATTTTTCCATGTCCAAGAGGAAGTGACATATTTTATTCAGTGCAGTATAATCCATTTTTTTCGTTATTTATGTTGATGCTCAAATAGTTCCAGATTTGTCCAGCTATTCAAGCTGGCTTCTCTATCCTTTTAATATGTCATTCCCATCATGCTTTGAGCACTTTTCCTTTAAAGGAAATTAATACATGTTAAGTTTCATGAAATGCTTTTCTACATCTGTTTAAGTGATTCTTTGTATTTTCCTCTCTTTAATCTGTTACTGTGGTGAATTAACATTAATTGATTTTCTAACAGTAAAAACCATGCTTTTTTGGGATAAACACAAGTTTTACATATTGCCAGATTCAGTTTGCTATTATTTTGTTAGACTTTTTACATCTCTGTTTATAAATGAGTTCAACGGTAATTATCTTTTTTTGTTTCTTTTTTATTTCAGCGTATTGCAGGGGTACAGATGTTTAGGTTACATATATTGCCTTTGCCCCACCCAAGTCAGAGCTTCAAGCATGTCCATCCCCCAGACAGTGCACACCACTCCCATTAGGTGGGAATATACCCATCCCCACCTCCCTACTCCCATCTTCCTGACACCCAATGAATGTTATTATCTTTTTTTACACTTGGCTTATTTTTTCCCACATTGTTTAATATAGATTTTTATTTTATAGTACAAATCAGATTAAAATGTTAAGCATTCTGAGTTGGCTATTCACGTAGTCTCACAGGCAACTGTGGCTGAGGACTTTGACTCAAAGTTATAATCTATAGAGTACTGAAATTACACAGGTATAGTTTGTGGTAGAATCTATATTGGGTAAATGATATATACTCTATTATGTGACATGTTATCTATTCTGTCTTCTATTATCACTTTATAAATTCCTGAATTTTTATAGTATAAATATTTATAGAAAAAATATATAAAATTGTTTCTAGAAAAGATATTTTCTATTTTTGTGATAAAATATACATAACATAAAATTTCTCATGTTAGGCATTTTTAAGTGCACAGTTCAGTGGTATTAAGTACATTCATATTGTTTTGCAGCCATTATCTTCTCATCTTGCAAAACTGAAACTCTATGCCCATTAAATAATAACTCCTTATTCTCCCATCTCCCCAGCCCCTGGAAACCACCATTCTACTTTCTGTCTTTATGATTTTGACTACCTTTTGTACATCATGTAAGTGAAATCATATAGTACTTATCTTTTTGTGACTGGCTTATTTCACTTAGCATAATGTCCTTCAAGTTTCTTCCATGTTGAAGCATGTGTCAGAATTTCCTTCTTTTTTAAGGCTACATAATATTCCATTGTGTATATGTTTGTGTACTACATTTTGCTTATCCATTCATCTGTCCATGGATACTTGAGTTGCTCCCACATTTTAGCTACAGTAAATAATACTGCTATGAACATGGGTATACAGATATCTCATTGAGACTTTGCTTTCAGTTCTTTTGGTTATGTATCCAGAAGTGGAATTGCTGGATTGATCATGTGGTAAATCTATTTTTAATTTTTTTAGGAACTGCCAAAATGCAGCTTCTCATAGCAGCTGTACCATTTACATTTCCACCAATAGTGCACAAGGGTTCCCGTTTCTCTGTGTAATCACCAACATTTATTTTCTCTTTTTGTGATTGTAGCCATCCTAAAGGGTATAAGGTGGTGCCTCATTGTGTTTTTTCTTATATTCTTTTAATTAAAAAAACATTATTTTTTAGAGATATTTTAGGTTAATAGAAAAATTGAGCAGAAAGTACAGAGAGTTCCCATATACCCCTTGACCCCGCTTGTGCACAATCTCTCCCACTATTGACATTCCATACCAGAATGGTACATTTGTTACAATTTATTAAACTTACACATCATAATCAGAATCACTGATTATGATGTGTAAGTTTAATAAATTGAAATTGGCACATCATAATCACCCAAAGTCCACAGTTTATGTTAGGGTTCAATCTTGGTGTTGTACATTCTTTGGGTTTTGACAAATGTATAATGACATGTATTCACCATTGTAGTGTCATATAGAGTAGTTTCACTGCTACTAATAGTCCTGTGCACTCTGCCTATTCATGCCTTCCCTCCATCCCACACCTGTGTAAATGCTGACTTTTTTTTTTACCGTCCCTATAGTTTTGCGTTTTGCAGAGTGTCATATATTTGGAGTTGTATAGTATGTAGCCTTTTCAGATTGGCTTCTTTCACTTAGTAAAATGCAGTTAAGTTTCTTCCAGATCTTTTTCATGGCTTGATAGCTCATTTCTTTATAGTGCTGAGTAATGTTTTGGTTTTGTGGATGTACCACTGTTCGTTCATTCACCTACTGAATAGAACGTTGGTTATTTCCAAGTGTGGGCAATTATGAATAAAGCTGCTATAAGCATCTGTGTGTAGGTTTTTGTGTGGATATAAGTTTTCAGTTCATTTGGGTAAAAGGAAAGTGATTGTTGGATGGTGTGGTAAGAGTATGTTTAGTTTTTATGAAATTACCAAACTGTCTTCCAAAGTGACTGTACCATTTTGCATTTCCACCAGCGAAGAATGAGAGTTCTTGCTGCTCCACATTCTTGTCAGCACTTTGTGGTGTAAGTATTCAGATTGTGGCCATTCTAATAGATGTATGGTGGTTTCTCATTATTTTAATTTGGTTGAACATCTTTTCATATGCTTACCTGCCATCGATGTATCTTCTTAGATGAGATGTTTGTTAAGGTCTTTTGCCCATTTTTTCATTGAGATGATCATTTTCTTATTGTTGAGTTTTAAGAATTCTTTGTATATTTTGGATAACAGTCCTTTATCAGGTGTCTTTTGCAAATATCTTCTCTCAGTCTGTGGCTTGTCTTCTATTGACATTGTCTTTTGCAGAGCAGAAGTTTTTGATTTTAATTAAATACAGCTTATCAATTGTTTCTTTCATGGATTGCACCTGTGGTTGTGTATCTAAGAAGTCATCACCATACCTGAGATCATCTAGGTTTCCTTTTGTCTTATCTTCTAGGAGTTTCGTATTTTTGTGATGTACATTTATAAAGATCTATGGTCTGTTTTGAGTTAATTTTTGTGAAGGCTGTAAGGTCTGTATCTAGATTTATTTTTTTGTATGTGGATGCCCAGTTGTTCCAGCAGTGTTTGTTGAAAAGACTGTCTTTGCTCCACTGCATTGTCTATGTTCCTTTGTCAAAGATCAGTTGCCTGTATTTATGTGGGTTTATTTCTGGGCTCTGTATTTTGTTCCATTGATCTATTTGTCTTTTCTTTCACCAGTACCACCCTATCTTGATTACTGTAGCATTATAGTAAGTCATGAAGTAAAGTATTGTCAGTCCTCTGACTTTGTTCTTCTTCAATATTGTGTTGGCTACACTGGGTCTTTTTCATCTCCATATAAACTTTAGAATCAGTTTGTCAATATCCACAAAATAACTTGTCAGGATAATGATTGAGATTGTGTCGAATCTGTAGATTAATTTGGGAAGAACTGACATCTTGACAATATTGAATCTTTCTGTGCATACATAGAATAACTCTCCATTTACTTATTTCTTCATTGATTACTTCTATTCAAGTTTTATAGTTTTCCTCATATAGATCATATACATACTTTATTAAATTTGTACCTAAATATTTCATTCCAGGAATGCAAGAATGTTTTGACCTTAGAAATTCTTTTAATATAATTTATCACACTAAGAGATTTAAAGGCCAGGTATTATGGCTCATGCCTCTAGTCCTTGGGCTTTGAGAGGCCAAGGTGGCAGGATTGCTTGAGGCCAGGAGTTTGAGACCAGTCTGAGCACCATCATGAGACCCCATCTCTACAAGAAAAATTAGAAAAACAATTAGCTGGGTGTAGTGGCATGTGCCTGTAGTCCCAGCTACTTGAGAGACTAAGGGATGAGGATCGCTTGAGCCCAGGAGCTTGAGGTTACAGTGAGCTATGATCCTGCCACTGCACTCCAAGCCTAGGCAACAGAGCCAGACCCTGCCTCTTAAAAAAAATGATTGAAAGAAAAATCAACAATATGATCATTTCCTTTGATGTTATAAATATATTTAATAAAAGTCAACATCTTTGTCTGATTTTTAAGACCTTAAGTAAAAATAGATGTGATTCCCAATTCTGGGAGCCACTTAAATCCAAGTGGGTCCTTGGCTTCAGGCAAAAAAGAATTCAGGAGCCAGCTGACAGTGTAAAGTGAAAGCAAGGTTTATTCTGAACCTATACAAAGTGTATTCCACAGACAGAGCAGAGGTCAGTTCTCTCTGCAGAACATAACCAGCCCCCCGGTTCCTGTTGCCCTTATATTTAAGCAACACCTTAAATTTTAGGCCAAACAAGGGGAGGAATATTCATGTTATTTCTACGATACTTCATGTTATTTCTACGAAACGGTGATGTTTTTCTGGAATTAGGGTAATGACCTACTTTTGACTACATATGGTCAAACAGGAAGCTCGCTGGGCGTTCTTCATTCCTATGGCTCAGCTGGGGTCCAAATCTACCAGCTTTATTCTGGCCCTGAGATTTGGGCTTGCTGATCTGGCCCGCACTGCTCCGAGTCTTGATGCCCTCTCAGCTGATCCATTCCCCACTAACACAGACGGACTGGTTGCCGTGTGTGCAGCAGTGCGACTCTTCTGGATGACTGGTGAATTCCTGAGTTCATGTTCAGTGTAGTTATAGAGAAATCTGGAAGAAGAGTTTCATTTCTCAGAAGCCCCCTCAGAGGAATGACGAGGTAGTATAGGCTCTCACCTATGATCACCTGACCAGCTGTACATGACATTCCCGTTCCTGCCATATTGATATTCGTGACACTGTCAAGTATAACGAAGTCATGAAACAATGGACTGGGCCCACGATTTGTTGGATAGGACTCACTCAATCTTTTTGCTACAGGTTGTCAGATGATGAAATTATCGAGAAGGCCCAAAGCATTCTAAATAAGTCCCAATTGACACCCGCAGAGTTGAGGTATCACCTGGTAGCTTCTGGAAGAATTATCACTGAGGCCTGGCATCCTCAGCTCAATAGTTGCATCTTAATGGACACATCTCGATACCAACCCAGTGCTTGATGTCCCAACAGCTGTATGCCTGGCTCTTGTACAAACCAAGCTGCCGTTCATGGTCATGATAAAACTGATCATGTCACGCTTGCAGGTGAGATGATGCAGACTTTGAGGCTTCCAAGATGCCTTGAATCAAAGATACATATGTCAGTAACCTGACTCTCAGTGACTGGTGTTTGATGTACAGCTCATTAGTGTAAGTACGGTGTACTCTCTGGTACTGGCGTAGATGAATCTTGTGCAAGTCGCCAGGTGCGCAGAGAAATATGAGGGGGAATATCGTCCTGAATATGACGTCGAAGAACATCGTATGGCTAGTGCACAGAAGCAATAGCAAAAAGAACAACTGGGAATGACTCAGAAAGTAGGGGCAGGCTCTGTGCCTTGGGACCAGGACTGCCAAAAGACAGCTTTCTCCTGGCTGGACCCTTCTGATATGAGCTGACTCGAGGAACCTCAGATGAAGAGGATGAGAAGCAGACAGTGATACGACAACACTGCACAGCGTTACGAGGAAAGCCAGGAAGAGCCAGCTTCCAGATTTATGCAAGAATAATGGCACAGTGTGGAAGGAAACACAAATAGGAGGACTTTAGAAACTTTGACTGTTCTTCAGAATCAAAATTTTGAAACATCTAAAAGGAAATACATCTTATCTCTGATGGGGCTACTTATAAAGAGAATTTTTGAAAAAAAAGAGAGAGAGCAGAACAGGAGGGAAGTGGAGAGAGAGCCTGGCCTCTGGTCCCCTTGCTAGCTTTCAATCCAAGTCCTCTACAGGCTAATATTGAGGAGGTTATTACGGGCTACCCTCATTTCTCATTGTAAATGATGAGTTATATATAATATCCTCATTTTCCCCCCCCCCCCAATTAGGATATGGTGTGATTAATTGTTTATATGTGTTTATAGCATTCCAAGACATGTAGCTATCAATTTAGTGCGTGTTGTTTATTAATGGATCATATTTCTGCTAGACCTCAGGAGTATGAGTTTTCAGTGTTTTTTGAAAACATATAACACTTCTTCTCATACTCAATGCTATCAGGTTTCCAATGAGTTTTCTATTCTCTTCTCATATTAGTTGTTCCTCTT